AGGATTAATGTCAATATCTGTTATTAAAGATCCTTTGAAAAAGTGGGTGGATGTCAGAACAACGGTCTTAGAATGGCATCCAAACCAGGGGCCATATTCTGGTCACTGTCTCTGGTCTCTCGTCTCTCGCAAGCTGGTCGCTGACTGGCTAATCCAAATGATTAGCCAATCAGCGACCGGCTTGTGAGAGACGAGAGACCAGACACAGTGACCATAATATGGCCCCAGGTTGAGGCTTGGGGATTTATACAATTGCAATGCTATTAATTACTTACGAAAAATCCTAAAGAAGAGAGAAAAGCAATCGACATTAGACAGATTCTTTAACCCTTTCAAATGGAAAAAACATGACTAATAAAAATGCAAGACTGTGTATGTATGTATTTTTTTTATTACATATAAATAAACATAGTAAGAAAGTATATATTTTTTATGTTGGGGGTCTCCAGAACAAATTAATTAAATCCCCATTAAAACCTATAGTAAATCGATAATCAGTTAACGAACAATTCGGATAGCAAACAAAGTCTTGGAATGGATTATGTTCATTAACCGATCACCCACTGTATTTGAATTTGCAATGCAAATATTCTGTTCTGTAAACCACAGTAGTTATAACTTGTAGTTCTTTATATACAAGGTGAGTCTGAAAAGTTTGGTGAATGATCCCATAGTTGAATAACCGTGCTGGTTAGAATGTTGCGCTCATGCAGACATAGTGAGAGTCTTGCCAACTAGTGGTCCCTAGTGTCAAAATCACAACAGTTAAATGGAAGTGCACGCAACAAACAATGCAACACAAGCAGTGTGAGAAGGAGTGTCACTGCGAAATGGAGCAATGCCTAAACATCAAGTTTTGCTTCAAATTAGGCAAAACGGCGACGGAGACATATGAAATGTTAGTGAAAGTGTATGGTGTGGAAGCAGTGAGTAAAAAGTGTTTTTGAATGGTTTAAAATTTAAATGCTTCAGAGACAGAAAGGAAGATGTCAACAATGAGCCGCATTCTGGTCAACAGTCAACTCCAGACAACATCGTACAAGTGCGACAGATGCTTGCGGATGATTGGTACCTACCTTTGAGAATGATAGCAGAAGATTTGAAGATAAGCAAGGACAGTGTGAGCCCTTGACAGGTGCCGATCATCCACAAGCATCCGTCGCACTCGTTCAATGTTGTCTGGAGTTGTGCTTGTTGACTGTCGACCAGAATGCAGCTCATCGTCAACATCTTCCTTTCCATCTCTGAAGCATTTAAACCATTCAAAAACACACTTTTTACTTACTGTTTCCACACCATACACTTTCACTAACATTTCATGTGTCTCCGTCGCCGTTTTGCCTACTTTGAAGCAAAACTTGATATTTAGGCATTGCTACATTTTGCAGTGACACTCCTCCTCACATTGCGTGCACTTCTGTTTAACTGTCGTGATTTTGACGCTAGAGACAACTAGTTGGCAAGTCTCTCACTACGTCTGCATGAGCGCAACATCCTAACCAGCACTCCATTATTCAACTATGGGACCATTCACCAAACTTTTCAGATGCACCTTGTACTAAAAACTGTGATGAGGAATATAAATAAACTCTATGTATGAGGGCAGATATAGCAGTGTTTATATACCCAGGTGGTTGAAAGGATATAGAAGGAATAATATGCAGAGGTAACTCAAACTTATGATGCACAATATAGTAAATTCCCTTATAAGTTCTATGAATAAAAAGATCTAAATCAGCAATTTTGTCATCTTTTTCATTCTCCATGGTGAATGATATAAAAGGTTATACAGCAGATAAAAGCTGTATGAAATGTAATAGTTTGTCAGACAGCCCATCCCACACCAGCAAGTTATCATCCACATACCTACTTAAAGGATTTGGTAACATATTGTAAAAGGAAAAAAGAAAATTCTAAATTCTACACTTGTAATTAACTCAGCCAATATGGCTGAAAGTGGGGAGACCATAGGTACACCTTGTTTTTGAAATAACATTGATTATTAAACAGAAATAATTATGTTCCGTTACTAAAAAGATCATTGGGACTGTAATAAACTATTCTTGGTCTCCCAGAACTATGGGTATCACTTTCTATAATATTAAAAGCATAGTTTGTTGTTTTTGTCTCTATTAAGTATTCTGTAATTTAAAATATTATGGTTACTAAAAGAATGTATAAGAACATATACTATAAGTTACTATAAAAACATATTTATAATAAAAATATAATTTAAATAGATATGTTATCATATCCCAAAAAAATTCAGAACTGAATTTCAAACTTTCAGATCAAATGCAAAAGGAAAAACAATGATGCAAAGAAGTTTTTAGACATATGATAATGTAATATAAGATTTATGACCAATATCTATTGACTGTAAATCTTATAAATAAAACTTAAATTGTGTTTATGTTATAAATACATTCTTCATTGCCTGAAGATGACATTAATGCAAGTACTTACATATCTGTTTTGTTAGAATTAAAGTACTGTATTGTCAAAAGACAATGGTTTTTAACGCTTATAATGGAAACCAACTTTTATAGTACTAGTGTACAAAAACTAATGTTTCACTTAATTGCCCATGGACCAAGAAATGGACAATTAAGTGAGGATTTATGGTATGATGACAGTGTGCTTGATTAATTTTACAAAGATTAGCTATTTAAATCTATTATTTGACATTTATGTTGAAGTCTTTTGCAATTTTGTAATTTAGATTCATATCTGTTAAATATGATCTTGTCCATATTTTGAATAGTTTAGATTGTGTGAGATCTGAAAGGCCCCCGGGTCTAAAATAGTAATTTTATTAATAATGTTAAATATTGTCATAAAATATTATTTCATTTCGGTGAGAAATTAACGTTTTCCAACGTGAGAAAAATAGATAACAGATGTTACTTCCTTCGAGGGAAGTTAGTACATCCTCTGTTTTTCCCTTATCCGCTAAAAATCTCGCTCAGATGGGAACTATCCACCCCTCTTTGATTCCCCTTTCATCCGTTCACATGAAAGAGTTTCTGGCCGATGATTGGTCGAAAATCATGAGAGTGTGTCTGTATTCAGGAATTTCCTAATAATATGACATGTATTCAATTCATTATTATTTTTATTTGATATAGGGGAAATTTATCAGAATTCGGGGAGTTCATCGACAGACATAGAAGAGTCAGGACTCCATACATATTTGCTCCTGAAGGCCAACACCTATGCTATTGAGCCATACAATATACGAAGGATTAAGTCTAAAGATATAAATGTATCAAGTTAAGTTGATCTCTCCAGAGGAAAGAAGACAGAGAATTCTAGAAGTGAACAACTACTTCATACCCAGAGCCGAAGTTTAAAGACAACTAGCAGGTTGTATGTTCTTAAATGATTTTGTGAGCTCTCTCTCTCGACCTCATATCGGTTATAGTATAAGTCCGTATCTCCGACTTATAGATTGGAATCCTCATATATTATCTCTCCTTTTGTACTAGTTTACATTGTTATGATTTATTAAATTATTCTTCTTTATTTTATAAAGAAATGTCTCTCAATTATTATCGGAATAGGATTTCCCCATGCGTGTTTATCCGCGTGTAAAACAACTGATAAACTGGTGTCGGGACCCTGACGTAAGGAAGGTGATATCGCTATCATCGACCTCCACCTTAAAATTCGGCTTAACTAAAGACCCTCCGCCACTCGATTTCCCTTAGATTGGAAAAGGCCATTCTTGTAGACGAAAGAGAACTAGTCCTACCGACTAGCTGCCTAGTAAGTGATACAGGCATAACAACTTACCCTGTACCCCAGGCTAATCTCACAATTGCTAAAATGTTAGAAAATTTGAAATTACTATAAACTGACATTTTAGCATTAATGATAAGAATTTGTAACAGTTAAGTAAATTTCCTTATTTAGATTTTAATAAATAATAAAATATTAATACATAAATCCTGTAATCTTTATCAATAAGAATTATTCCTAAATTTTAAACTTTTTATTTACTTCAGTAATAAATCTTTTCAAACTAATATTTATATTAAAATTTAAATCATCAAACATTTTATTCTTTTGTTAGGAACGACCCTGTCCTTAGGATGGTATTGTTTTTCTTGTGTACACCACTGCTTTCAAGTGCATGTGACCAGCCTAAAGAATACATGTATTCTCAAAGAAATATGTGCACTAATGCACTAAACAATACAAGAGTGAGGAGTGTTTTGGTTTTGAAAAACAGTTACATTTTTCAGAAAAAATACATATAACTCATCCTCATTATGTATTGCACCTTCTTGTGTTATGTGGATGTGTGGAAAAGATGTAAGTAAATCTTTCATTTTTTCCTTACCTTTGTCAGTAAACATTAAGAATTAAAAATATATTTACTATTATTAAAACCAAACATTTATTTGTGTTATAGACAATTGGTAACTTATAAGTTATAACTGCTACATTATGATTGTGTTTTAATATTTTTTACTAGAAAAATAAATTGGTTTATTTTTACTACTTGTTTATACAACTTTCACAGTTTTAATTGCTAATATAATATTTTTGTAATTCATACAACTATAAGACAGGCCTTGCATTCTTCAAAATCATTCAGAAGAGAAGAAGCAAAATGCCAAAACTACTATACAAGATGACAAGAAAGGCAACATACATAGGAAAAAGATTTTATTAAGTGATCATGAAAGTAAATAGCAATGTGTGATTCATTACAGACAATGACTGTAATAGTGCTCAAAGAAGTGATATGTTATACTGTATTTTTACAGTATTTTTGTTATTGTTTTGTGTTTTTCCTGTATATATTACTGTTTTTTTTTTTTTAAATAAATAATTATAATGTATATGATAATGAATAAAAACAATAGTAAATATTATTTAATCTAAAAGAAAAATTGCCCGTCCCCAGGATGGGTCAAGCCTGCTTGTTTCAAAATACAGATTGCACCTGACAAAAGATTAAAAACAATGTTTACAAAAATACTTTTACTTACAGGATTTTTTTGAATACTTCCAGATATGAACTGTAACAAAACCCACATTAAATGATCTCTGCCCTTTTTTAAATTTCTTCCAGCCAACTGGAAATAATAAATTTTTAATATGAGTAAAGTAAATTTTATTTTATAAAATAAAATAACTTGCATAATTACTTTATCATGTAATGCTAAAACCATATGCGGAAAACTAGCATATTGAAATAACACAAAATAAATAAGTTGACTTGATAAATGCTGCCACAACAATTGAGTTGGTCCTCCATCTTCCATTGCTTCAGTTTCATTTTCAGATCTCTCCATTGCAATAACTATAAGCTCCACTAATTGTTCTTCCAATACAAGACAACGTTGTTTTTGCTACAATATATTGTAAAAGACAAAATAGTGCCATACAATTAGAAAATAATATAATATTTCAATAAGTAATATAAAGATTTCATATTACTAATATGTAATTATGAAAATACAAAATAGTACTACTATTTTATAAGATTAAATTACAAATACAGTAAAACATGTCTAAAACAAAACATAAATAAAATAGAAATCTGTCTAAACAGAAAAAACTTAAAAAAACAGTAATTTTTTTTTATAAATTTTACTATAATCCAGAAAGCTATCTAACCTGGAAATAGAACAAGATTTTGAATACAAAAAAAATGTAATTTAACCTGAATAAAGCAGAAAATTAAGATTCCACTTGTGGACAAATATGTAAAATTACCTCCATATATAAACATCAATACAGAACATGACAAACTGTATTCCGAAAATAAGTTAAAACCTTTCTGGAAAAACTGAGGTCATGTAGATACTTAGACACAAGGTCTTTATTATGGACAGATCTTGGACTCAAGACAATGTGAACTCATTAATATCAGGTTTATTCCAATATTATATTAATATTTATTTATTTATTTATTTATTTAGACATACTGGGAAAACCCATGATGCGGGGAATACATACAACAAAATCATTAGATATACAATACAAACTACAGTAATATTACAATACATGAATTAATACAGAGAACAAAAAAGCAGAATATACATAAATAAAATACAAATTATACAAAACCAATACTAAGAAATAATATTTTAAACAAAATATCAACATAAAAATTGTGGGGAGAACTATCCAAACAATAAAAAAACAATTTATATAAAAAATTAATTACACCTATAAGACAAAAAAAAAGAAGTTAATTATCACGTCAAACAGCAGACAGTTTCCCCTATTATATTAATAAGATCAATGCTTCCAAGAGATGCTCTCTGGCAACAATGTTGTCATCTGCATAACAGGTAAGACAAAAGACTTGGTATTCATGAAGAGAGCAACCTATCAAAAAAGCACACAAAATGAACTGTGGAACCATCCAGACATCTTCAAACACTCCACAACAGAGTTATCTGGTTTACACACTCATCCTTGGCACGAGCAACACATCCACTCAGGTTCTGTTCATTCCAAGGATCTTCACATTTGCCAAAATTCACAAACCAGCAATCAACTTTGATCCATTGTTAACACATCTGCTGCTCCCACAATTGAAATTGAAAGAATACTTAATCACTACATCAATGGCAATCTCAAAATCTACCACCAAACAATAAACAATTCAATACATTTTCATGGAATGCTTACAACATTTATGACTGGATATTTAAATACATCATGGTCTACAATTTTGAATTACTATACTCTTCAGTAAAAATAAAACCTTGTTTCCGTAATCTATGCAATTTTCTGTTTAAATATTTAAGTGAACCTGGCAGACATTACTCTAATTAGCCCTTTTGGCCTCCACCTATCTGTGAAGCAGGAAAGTTCTTCTGCACATTTCCTGGACATCAACATCACTTTCCAAAAAGGTCATATCTCACCTCATTCTACAAGAAACCTTCATACTACTCTTTACTCATTCCAGCAGTTTCAAAGGATCCATTCTCATTAAAATAACAGCACTTAAAATCCTTGTCAGGAGACTATTTATGCACATATCCAACAACAAAGACAGAGCACAAGAACTAAATCACATTATCTGTATCATAGCACAGCATGGCTATTCTTCTAGGATAATCAAGTGTCTAACCAACAAATACTCTTCTTATACCATACACAATAGTTATTTATTTATTTATCTTATTTACAGTAGGAAATATCTATGACAATGAATTTCCACCCCCACATTAACATAAAAACTTCAAATAAATATTAAAAAAAGCAAAAAACTAGCAAAGAAGATAGGCCATACAAGTCAATAAGATACAATCAACAACTGAAATTAATCTTCCATGAAATAGCACATCCCATGAACATTCCAAAGATACAGTCCATAACAAATTTTAAACATTAAAAAAATAATTAACATTTTAACTTGAAGATAACCTGAAGAAAGCCAAAAACATTGCTTCCAAACTGCTGAAAAAGTATGTATGTATTCTGCTTGGAATAATCAATGGCAAGATTAAAAAAAGAATTAACTTAAAATAATGTAGAGCAAATTAATAAAGCCAATTACTGCCATATGCTATCAGGCTAGATAACGACTATAATATTAATAAATTAACAAACAATTTGATACTAGAGGGAGGCGTTAAGTGCCATCTCTTAATAAATTTAATAATTACAATTTTAATTAAATAATTTAGATTAAACTGGAAGAAAAGAATCAACCCAGAGCAGGACTTGAACCCGCAACTTACCGTGCAGATGTGTTGCCAATTACGCTACAGTAGTTGGCTTTAGTAATATAATGTATTGGGTTTTGTAAAGTAACATAAATACATAGGATTGGCATCACACCAATTGTACATACACAAGGAGGTGTATTCGTATTTGTGCCTGAAAGCACTTGAAAGCACTCGCAGAAAAATAAAATATGAGGTCTGTTCAAAAAGGACTTTTATTTTTTCCGCGTAAACCAATGATGCGCGGGAGGCCTCTTTCGGTGGAGTTGTGGAGGGGACAGTCATGCACAGCCCTGAATTTTTTCCCACCTGCAGGAAGCGTCAGTCGTTGGCAGTCGGCCTACGAGTGAGGACATGTAGTGAGCTCTCGTCGGATTCCACTAAGTTGGAAAATGACTGAACAACGTGAGCAGCGACATTACATCAAATTTTGCCAAAAACCTTGGCGATACCCAAGCGTAAACCATTCGCAAGATTCAGCAGGCTTTCAGGGACAATCCTCGAGGCCAAAAAAAGTGCAGCAAGCCTGCAGCAATATCAAGGTCATGTTGACAGTTTTTTCGACTCTTGTGGGGTGGTGTATTGTGAGTACGCACCACAAGGCCAAACCATCGCAAAGGAGTACTACCAGGAGGTCCTTTGTCGTCTTTCCATGCTGTGCGACGCAAACGACCGGATCTGTGGTCAATCAAAACTTGGCAGCTCCATCGTGATAATGCATCCGCCCATTCTGCACATCTGATTCGGGCTTTCGTCGCCAAACACAATATTCCTGTGGTTCGTCACGCTCCGTACTCTCCCCACATGGCTCCGTGTAACTTTTGGCTATTTCCCAAGCTGAAAATACCGCTAAAAGGAACCTGATTTGAGTCGAGAGAAGACATCATGTGGAATGCGATGGACTGGCCGATGGCCATTCCAAAAGATGCATTTCAGCAGTGTTTCCAGCAATCAATCAATCAATTTATTTATTCATACCAAATGAGTTGTACATGCCCTGGTCCCGCTGTAGGCATTACCAGGGAGGAAGAACATCAAAATTAGCAGTAGTATACATGATAAATACATCGAAACTGAAAGACATTATACATAGGATTTTTAACAACAAAAGAGAAAAACAAATTGAATTAAGGAACACGATAGTTCTTGTCACGTGTAGAACATACAGGAAGGACAAACAGACATGTTTACTGTAACATTAAAATACAGATAAATTAATTTTATCGAGACAATCTTAACGCGTGTAGGGGTGAACAATACACATGTGAGAAACAAGCAAATGGAAATGTCCAAGTACATGAAGAGTTAACTGTTAATAATCTTGTGCGTGACAAAGTTGATTTGCCTTGCCAGTTTCCTAAAGGCATAGAAGATCTCTTTAGTGCGCCAGATATCTGAAAGGCGACAGGACCACATAACACCAAGTTCTTGTAAGAGGAGTTGCAGTTCGAGACGATCACGGTCTAAGATGACATAATCAAATAGATAATGTAAGGCACCATCTTCTGTGTCACAAATTGGGCACTGCTCAGAAGATCTGTTTGTGAAACGAGCAAGATAGAGCGCATATTTTCCATGGTTACTAAAGATTTGCAATGTACAGTAGTCTGGAGTATGCCAATTTATTTTTAAAAATTGTCTAAGATCTGGAATAAACTTGTAGGTGATATGTTCAGAGTTATGATTCCAAGTGTTTTGCCAAAGTTCTATTGTGTCATTCCAGAGAAGGTGGTGTAACGATCACTGGCTGATCTTGTTATAGGTGATCTGTAAAAAACTGTTCAAGACTGCATCCTTAGCCAGAGAGTCTGCCCTCTCGTTTCCAGTGTCTCCCTGGTGAGCCCTTATCCATGTGATGGTAAAGGTGCATTCAGAAGATTGTGTTGCATTTTTAATGTATTCAGCCAGAGGATGTAACTTGTTGCTCTGCAGCAGATTTAGAGCTGACCGAGAATCAGTATGTATGTGCACATGAATATTACTGTNTTCTTTTGTTAGGAACGACCCTGTCCTTAGGATGGTATTGTTTTTCTTGTGTACACCACTGCTTTCAAGTGCATGTGACCAGCCTAAAGAATACATGTATTCTCAAAGAAATATGTGCACTAATGCACTAAACAATACAAGAGTGAGGAGTGTTTTGGTTTTGAAAAACAGTTACATTTTTCAGAAAAAATACATATAACTCATCCTCATTATGTATTGCACCTTCTTGTGTTATGTGGATGTGTGGAAAAGATGTAAGTAAATCTTTCATTTTTTCCTTACCTTTGTCAGTAAACATTAAGAATTAAAAATATATTTACTATTATTAAAACCAAACATTTATTTGTGTTATAGACAATTGGTAACTTATAAGTTATAACTGCTACATTATGATTGTGTTTTAATATTTTTTACTAGAAAAATAAATTGGTTTATTTTTACTACTTGTTTATACAACTTTCACAGTTTTAATTGCAAATATAATATTTTTGTAATTCATACAACTATAAGACAGGCCTTGCATTCTTCAAAATCATTCAGAAGAGAAGAAGCAAAATGCCAAAACTACTATACAAGATGACAAGAAAGGCAACATACATAGGAAAAAGATTTTATTAAGTGATCATGAAAGTAAATAGCAATGTGTGATTCATTACAGACAATGACTGTAATAGTGCTCAAAGAAGTGATATGTTATACTGTATTTTTACAGTATTTTTGTTATTGTTTTGTGTTTTTCCTGTATATATTACTGTTTTTTTTTTTTTAAATAAATAATTATAATGTATATGATAATGAATAAAAACAATAGTAAATATTACTTAATCTAAAAGAAAAATTGCCCGTCCCCAGGATGGGTCAAGCCTGCTTGTTTCAAAATACAGATTGCACCTGACAAAAGATTAAAAACAATGTTTACAAAAATACTTTTACTTACAGGATTTTTTTGAATACTTCCAGATATGAACTGTAACAAAACCCACATTAAATGATCTCTGCCCTTTTTTAAATTTCTTCCAGCCAACTGGAAATAATAAATTTTTAATATGAGTAAAGTAAATTTTATTTTATAAAATAAAATAACTTGCATAATTACTTTATCATGTAATGCTAAAACCATATGCGGAAAACTAGCATATTGAAATAACACAAAATAAATAAGTTGACTTGATAAATGCTGCCACAACAATTGAGTTGGTCCTCCATCTTCCATTGCTTCAGTTTCATTTTCAGATCTCTCCATTGCAATAACTATAAGCTCCACTAATTGTTCTTCCAATACAAGACAACGTTGTTTTTGCTACAATATATTGTAAAAGACAAAATAGTGCCATACAATTAGAAAATAATATAATATTTCAATAAGTAAT